CAGAGGACCCGGACCCGCCGTCTCGGGAGACTGGGCTGCGCCGCCCGGCGGCGCCTTTGGCGGGGAGGCTTCCAGGAGTGCGCGGTCGGAGTTGGAGCTTTTGGAATCTCAGCTCCCACCCTGCCATCCCAGACGAAGGGAAGCAATGGCATTTTATTCAGACATTGCCGTTTGCAGACTTCCTTAAAAGTTGTAACTTTTTATTTTCTTTTCTCCTCAACTCAGCATTTTCTTTAAACAAAATTTAGAATTTGGCCGCAATGGGTCAACGCTGGGGCCAAAAATCCACAGGTTTATCTCTCCATCCCGGCTGGTTTCTAGTCCCCCTCCCCCTCTTCCCTCCCAGGCTTAATCATATTTTGGAACGGGTGAGGTCTTTTGTTGGGTGGGCACCTCCTGATTGCTTGTCTGTTTATTTTTTAATGTGCAACTAATTTGATTTGAATTTCCTCCAGTTTCCAGGCCTTCCTAGGGAAAGCTAAGGGAGAGGGAATATGCTTTTTAAAATCGTTTTCTTTCTTTCTCCTTCTCTCCCTCCCTCCCTCCCTCCCTCCCTTCCTTCCTTCCTTTCTTCCTTCCTTCCTTCCTTCCTTCCTTTTCTTCTCCTCCTCCTCCTTGTTCTTTTTTTTTTTTAAATAAATGTGGCAGGAGGTGGGGCATTGAGAATGGGGAGGCACGGTGGTTGTGGGCAAAGAGTCAGAAGGAGCAGACAGACCCGGAAGAAAAGGAATCTGCTCTGGAATAACACTTTTTTTTTGAGGCTTCAGGCCTTGGGCAAAATTGCTTCGCTCTGTAATGATTTCTGCTGCCGGAGTTGCTCCTCCACCCCTAAGTTAAAGCTGTGACCCTAGGTGCCTGGGCAACGCCCCACAGTGGATAGCAGCCGGGAGCGCTGGTTTTGTGCCTTTTGTGGGGGCCCTTGGTTCCCCCTCATTGGAGGCTGACTCTGAAATTTACTGGATCAGTAAATTTCCTGGCTCCCTGGGAGCAGCTGTTAACGAGGATAAAGTCTTTGGGCATGTTTCTGGCCCTGCGAAAGGACCTCACCCATGAAGGTACAATTCTCACTTTGTTTAGATACCAGAGGGGCACCCACAGGCTGACTGAGAATGAGGCATAGTTGATTAAAAAAAAAAAAAATCAGTCATTACAAAATTGTTTTTAAACTCACGTGCTTTTAAAGTGTTGTGGTTTAAATGACTTTAAGATAAAAAAAATTCATCTGTAAAGATAGTGTTCATTTAAAAGATGTTAAAACTGCAGGATCTCATCATGAAATAGGAGGTTGTAGCTTCTAATTACAGTATACACAATTTCAGAAAGATATTCCGGTAATCTTTTAAGACAGACTTTATAAATAGCGCACATCAGACGATGGGTTATATTGGAGAGCCAGTCTTCTGGGGTTTCTTGAAGAATGCTTGGGATCTGTGAGGAAGCTCTAGGCCCTTGGAGCCTAGGTAACAGTTTACTCAGTAGGAGTTTGTGCTCCTTTTGCTCAATACTTTATTTAACCTGGTAGCATTTGATTGATAGGTTCATTAGAAGCTAACTAGAAGAATTTCCCACACTTGTCAGTTTGGAAAATGAGGCCCCGGAAGGGAAAGTGACTTATCGAGGGTCACCATTATAGACGAAAGTTTAATACAGGATTGTGTTAATAGCTCCTTTCTGGGATATCTGATGTGTACTAAGCACTAATTCCTGTGCTTTTATACATTATCTCATTAAAATTCTAATAGTCTTTCGATTTAGGTTGTGTTATGCACACTTTACAAATAAGGGCATCGAGATTTACAGAAATTAAGTAACTTGCATAAGATCACGTAGCTACCAACGGTGTCATCCAATGGAATTTTCTTAAGTGTTGGAAATGGTTCTGTCTGTGCTGTCCAGTTTAGCAGCCACAAGGCACATATAACTGTCTTTGAAATGTAACTAGTGGACTGAGAAACAACAGTTTAATTATTTTTTTTGGAATGGAGTCTCGCTCTGTCACCTAGGCTAGGGTGAGTGCAGTGGCGCATTCTCGGCTCACTGCCACCTCCGCCTGGCGAGTTGACATGGATTCTCGCTCTGTCTCCCGGGCTGGAGTGCAGTGGCGCGATCTCGGCTAACTGCAGCCTCTGCCTCCCGGGTTCAAGCGATTCTCCTGCCTCAGCCTCCCGAGTAGCTGGGATTACAGGCGCCTGCCACCATGCCCGGCTAATTTTTATATTTTTTAGCAGAGACCGGTTTTCACCGTGTTAGCCAGGCCGGTCATGAACTCCTGACTTCAGGTGATCCACCCGCCTCGGGCTCCCAGAGTGCTGGAATTACAGGCGTGAGCCACTGCACCCGGCCTAAGTTTTATTTACTTGTAATTTCCACTTGTGGCTAGTGGTTACCATATTGGAGAGCAAAGTGTAGAACTTTTTGACTCCCAAATCTTTCACATGTAGCTTGGTCATATTGCTCTTTATTTTACTTTGAGACAGAGTCTCGTTCTTTTACCCAGGCTGGAGTGCAGTGGCATGATCACGGCTCACTGTAGCCTCCACTTCCCAGGCTGAAGTGATTCTCTCACCTTAGCCTCTCCAGTAGCTGGGACTACAGGTGTGCACGCTACCATGCCAGGATATTTATTATTATTATTATTATTATTTTTTTTTTTTTGTAGAGACAGGTCTCACTATGTTGTCCAGGCTGCATACTGCTCTTCAGATCTCTTAGTTCATTTTTCTTTCTTCTATGATATCAGAAGTTACATTCAGCCCTTAAATGGAACTTAAAGACTGAGTTAGCTATAGCTCAACTTTGCTTTCCTATGTAGAGTGGATAAAATATGCATATTATTTGTTAACTATTTGGTTTTAAAAACAATGCTTACATGTCATAGTTAAAGCTGGTGGGAAAAACTTTAAATGACATGTTCTTTTTTGTTTTAATATAGGAGTTGTACATAGGAATTGCTGAAAAAGTAGTCAGAGCTTGTTGGTTATTTTAGTGTAATAAAAGAGTACAAATAGGAAACAATATGAAAAGTCAGTAATAGAAAGTTGAAAAAAATGATCCTCTCATACCCATGTTCATCCGTTCATTGGACAGTTCTTTTCAGATGACTTCATAAGTATCAGTAAACCATTATTCACTTTTCCTTATGTAGCTGCGGAAGTAATCTGAAGAATCAAAATTATTCTTTTACTATCAGAGTATAAAAATCAAATATCAAACACATTGGATTCATCCATGAATTGGGAAGAATATGTGTAAGATTAAAACAGTAAGAAAGATCTGTTTGATGCAGATGATCAAATACTTTTCTGATTAGTGGATTTAATTTAAATTCATTGAATTTTAGAGTTTCATTTGCTAAAAGGAATTTCAACAACTTTCTGATTTTGTATGGAATGGTGAATATTTCAACTCATGTTAAAGTAAGCATTCTTTTATCTAGATTGGATTCTATCTATACATATCCTATAACCCAATACCTTTTTTTTTTGGTGCACTACCATCAGGAAAAGGCAAATTATAATGTAATCTCTTTTTATTAGGATTTTTAAGAGGCAACTGCCAGGTTCAGTATAAGTATATCTGAATCTACTGTATCTTCCATAGTTATAGTACTGTCCAGGGATAATTGCAGTTCATAATCTTTAGACATATCCTGAAGGACCTATGTCTGTAAATTATCTTTAAATTGTTCTAAGTTATTTTAGTGTTATGTGAATTACATTGCTTCCAGCTCTTTGAAAATTGTTAATTCAACTGCAGGTAAGGCGTCAGTTACTGAGACTGTTCAGATAACTGAAACATCCTGTTCATACCCATTCCTGACCATTGGGACCACTGTACTATTTTCAGGATAAGAACCATGTTATAAATAGGATTATAGTGTCCTAGTGAGTGTGACAAATATAGGAAACATGATTTAACCCATGACATATGGTTTGATTTGTAGGACATCCCCAAGTGCTTAATACAAATGACAAATTTACTATAATCTTAAGGAATAAAGATGTTTAAATGATGGACAAAGATTGAGGGCCACATCTGAGCATCAGTTTGAAATCAGAATATCTTCTCTGCCAAGGGATAACTTTACTTTCTAGCTGGGTCCTTGATAAGCTTTTGAATCTCTCTTAGTCTGGGTTTCCTCATTTTAATATAAGGAGGAAAGATCTAACTCATACCTTTTCAAATGGTTGTCACAAGGGATTAATGAGTCAGTGTATTGAAAAGTGTTTGGCAAAGCCTTATACAAACCCCATAGTTCATTATATTCCAAAGTTTAAAACTGAGCTGGTCCTATGATATTTCTTTGCACATTTTCAGAGACCTCCAAATTGTGCTTGGACAGTTGGAAAAATGATTTATTTTTCTCTTTGTGATCAGTAAATAAGGTCCAAGCTTTAGATGTTGTATTTTATTTTCACCCCACTCCTAATGGAATAGGTGATTTGTGACCTCTCCAAAGTTGTACTGTACGTAAGTTGTCCCATATCTGTGTTTTTGGGAAGTTGGTCTGTAGCTGGGCTAGTGTTGCTGAAGTGGGCAGGCCAGGCTTGATTCAGGGCTGTTTTTGAGGTGGGGGGGAAGAAGTGCAGTCTCTTAGAGGAACTTTCAGTACTGAATGATAGAGTCATAAGGTTTTACTCCTTGTATGTTATCTTAGCCTATTACTTGAGCTTTCAGCAATTACAGCTAAGAATGGAAAAGAATCATATTTTCAGTGTAGGGGAATCTTTGCAACCTACCTGCCTTTCCACTTTAGAAATCACAATTGCCTTTTCTTCATGTTAATGAGGTTAATCCATTAAGTGGGATTTTTATGTGGTAAGACATTATTTTCAAGTAAATTAATTCTCACTCTTAAAGCTGTTGAGAATTCACTTAGGTGGTTGAGGAGAAGCTTTGTACTTTAGTTTCTGAGTGTCTTTATATATGTATTTTCCCTTAAAATATATAGTATGGTTATGGCATTATGTGTTTTAAAGAGGGAGAGAATGCTTGAATTATTGTGGCTAGATACGGGCAGGTAGACAAGCACAGGCCCAACTGGAAGGACGACTTGATGGTACTTCAGCACTTTGCAAGGTATATCCAGTGAGAGGCCAGACCCTAGTAACAAGCTCACCTGGAGGGGAGTTTGTTCATGGTGCAGGTTTAATGTCAAGGACCAGTTCTTGGAAACAGAAGGTATGTCGGGTGCCAATTGAAGATCAGGGGACAGAAATGTTTTTAAAACCACCAAGTATAAATCACATAAGATCGATAGTCGTGATCAGCCATCTACATACAGATGAGGATGTTTGTCAGTTTGAAAATATTTGATTCTTGAATTTTTCTTTGTTTCTCCCTGGTTAAGATATGCAAGTTTAGCGTTCTGTCAGTGTTGGATCAGAATTTCTGATGCCCTTGGCAATACTCAGTGTCAGTTTAGACATTGCCTTCTAATTTTTTTTTCTTTTTCTTTTTTAAGATACAGCATTTCACTGCTGCTGGAGTGCAGTGGCTCTATCATAGCTCACTATGGCTTCGAACTCCTGGGCTCAAGTGATCCTTCCACCTCAGCCTCCCCAGTATGGCTATAACTAGGACTATAGGTTCACGCCACCATGCCTGGCTAATATTTTTTTTTATTTTTATAGAGACAGAGTCTCACTTTGTGGCTCAGGCTGCTCTCTAACTTCTGGCTTGAAGCAGTACCCCTGCTTCAGCCTTCCAAAGTGTTCCAAGGTATAAGCCATCTTGCCCGGCCCTGTTTTGTTTTTATAATGTCATTAAAATACCTCATCAGCTTCAAATAACCATTTTGTGGGGTGGTGGGGGATTTTTCTGAAATGGTGTTGAGTCACAGTTAGTGTTATTTGAGGTTCTAGTAAGTATCAAAGTGTGTCCTGTGTTAAATGATTCTTTTTGAGCTTAAAATGTAATTTCATTTCAGTTACTTGTTTATTGACTCAGAATGCATATTTTGAGATCTAGACCAGGTTCTTTGTTAATGGAATATTCTACTCTGTTCTGATGTTTTTGGAATCTTCTATAGAGAACAGTATCTACCACCAAACTCCTAAGGCTGGATGGTGGTTAAGTTCAATTCTTTGCTACCTTCTGAAATTTGAGAAATACTAAAACTGGAGCACCTGCAGGCTGTGTTAGACTTTAAGCCTTCTAAATTATATTAGAATTTAAGGATACATCTTTGTTTTTACCCTGGAAAGAGTGGTAAAGATTTTCATAAAGGCCAACTAGTCATAAAAACTTACTTAAATGATCTTAACTCACAATTATGAAAAGTTTTCTATTGAAATAATTGTCTAGAAAGTGATCTTTATACATGAACAAAGGTAGGATGTTTTAGAAATAATTGAAGATTCTAAGATCCCAGGAAATATAATGGTTTAATTTATTTTTAAGGGATTTAAGATTCCCCATAGCCTATGAAAGAGGGGTCTCTATTAAAAATAACTCCATTGTTCTAGATGTAACTAATTAGGGATTTGCAATTATCCAGGCAAGGCTAGGATAAAGTTTGGCTGCCTATTCTATATGAAAAGGTTTTACTGTAAATATCAAGTTTAAATAGATCTTTAGAGGAATATTTACCTAATTAAAAGAACAAACCACTTTTTAAGCACCTTGGGAAAAATCAATTTACTTAAAAGCAGTGTAAAAGTGCAGAATGCATTCACTGATGCTGGACTGCTGGTGGTCTTTTCATAGAGATACAGAAGCCCCTGGAAAGTCAGTGTTCTCTGTGGATTGCCATGAAATAAATGTTGATTGACTCAATGCTATCATGTGAACTACAAACAGTTTACCAGCAATGGGTAGAACTATATTATTTGCTTGCAAAATATATCACAACAATAAGCACAGTATCTGCCTCCGCCACCCCACCCCACTCCACTCTACCAATAGACTCCAACTATGCCTATTTATTGGTTTTGGTATTTTTCTAGTGACATTTGTTTTGCTACTTGTTAACTTCTTTTGTCACGTGTAAGCATTTGATGGCAGATTGGTGAGAGCAGGTGTTAAAAGTTTAAGAACATCATTATTGCTTTTAGCTCATTTCTTCTGCCTTCGTGTTTGGGCAGGA